ATCAGAATCTCTGACCATCTGCAGTGGAATATCAGCTTGAAGAAAGAAAAAGGAAATGTTGATTAATCAGCTCTTCCGCATTCCACCAGAATCATCCCATGCGCTTTCAGCCAGCTGACCAGCAGTGTGCCAGGATCAGTTTCACCAGCTGTGAAGCTGCAGGATATTTTTAGAACCTTTTTAAAGCCGTGATACCAATCCGGTCCAGCCCGGTCCATTTTGTCTGGTTGGATACGGGAAATTTGTCACCAATGAAGATAAAAAAAGATTTTGTCTCGTCTGCGGCAGCCGATTGACTTCATTTCTTCCTCACAGTTTGAATTGGCACTCTCCAGTCCTCCATCTCAGCAGACGTTTGATGATAAACCAATCAGTTCCTGCTAGAGAACTCCTGTTCCCTAGCAGGAGTTTCCTGCTAGTTTCTCTGCTCACATCATCAGTTCAGCACCTTCTGAATGCAGTTACCAGGTTCTGTTCTCTGGTTCTTTGTGACTGGACTTCTGGTGGCCGTCCAGAACCAGCATTTCCTTCTGTATTTCCTTCCTGTTTCTCTCCCGCTTGATGTTTTCAGCTAAGCAGCTGTCCTGACAGCTAGCCTGCGTGCTAACGCTCTTCTTCTTCTGCTGCTGTCCCCCGCTGCACGCTAGCCCGGAGCCGCATCCCACGCCCCAGCATGAGTCAGGGCTGCAGCCGCGACACCAGTCGCGAGAGCAGCCGCGACACCAGCCCCGCTCGGGGCTTCGCTCCTCTGGGTGAGTACGGCCTGGTGTTCCTCAGGGTCGCTGCTGCCTTTCCAACGTTTTACTCAGAATGAATCTTGGAGAATCAACAGCAAACTGACTCTATTCATGAATAAATGAAAACACAACCAGAAGCTGCATTTAGCTCTGCTAATCACCTTCATCAGCCTGGGAAGGGTCAAAGGTCATCTCCACTCCCTCTGGAATCTGTTCTATAAACATTATTCCCAAGATTAAAGTTAATAATAATGATGATAAATAAGTTAAAAAAGTGTAAAACAACATAAATGAAAATGATCTTTAAAAAAATTAATAACTGATTAAATTGAACATTTTAAATTGGAATTAAAGAAAATAATACAATTAAAAAAGGTTTTTCACAAGAGGAAAACATCTCAAGGTCAGAGCTCCATCTGAGACCGAGTTAACGGGTCAAAGGTCATGACTCTGAACCATACTGGAAGGGTTGCTGGAGAAAACCTCTTCTCTGGAACCAACATGGCTTCCGGACCAAGGTTAGTGGAGCAGAGACTGATGCTGGACCAGAACCAGACCCAGCAATCAGTGAGGCACGGTTGTGTCTGTAGCAGGTGTGCTGGTCACTGAGGACAGGAGGGTCAAGGGTTAAATGTGAGAGGCTCTGGGGCCTGGTCCTCTGCCGTCATATTTAACCCAGAGGCCAACTGGGGAAACCGAACCCAGTGGTTCTGATCCAGTAGTGACTTCCTGGTTCTCCCGCAGCCTCCAGACGCCACTCCCGTTCCACCAGCGCTCTGTCCTCAGCAGAACCCCATGGCCAGTCAGGTGACCTGCATGTTCCCAGGCCTCCCAGTGTGAGCTGGAGTGGCCCACCGGTCTGCTTCTGTTGTCGTTCCTCAGCCAGAACCCACCAGAACCCATTAGAACCCACCAGAACCCATCAGAACCCATTAGAACCCACCAGAACCCATTAGAACCCACCAGAACCCACCAGAACCCATCAGAACCCATTAGAACCCATCAGAACCCATTAGAACCCATCAGAACCCATTAGAACCCATCAGAACCCATCAGATTTCAGTTTTCCTCCAGCATGGCCGGTTTTTCTTTAGTAGCTTTGGGTCCAGGAAGGTTCTGGTTCCGATCCATACTTCACCCAGAGAGTTTTTCTGATTGTTTCAGTTTTCGTCCCTCTGAGCGTCTGGTGCATGTTTCTGTTTCTTCTTCTTCTGTCGGTTCCTCTGCTTGTTGTTCTAATGGTGAAACCAAAGAAGAAGAAGGCAAGTCTCAGGCAGCCGGTTCCCTTCATTACTCAGCGGTCCGTCTTGATTTTGTAGATCGATACGGTCTGATCCACCAAGCCAGGATTTCTGCGTCGGTGAACGCCATGCGGGTCCTGAACACCGGCACCGAGGTGGAGGCGGCCGTGGCCGACGCTCTGGTGAGTGACTTCCTGCTTCCACAATCCTTCGGAATCGCTGGGGAAAGTTGGAGAAAAGGTCCTTGACAGTTTGGGTTTGTGCTCCTCTCTCTCGTCTTCCTTCTGGCGTTTTGCTTGCAGCTGCTAGGAGACTCCAGGAACAAGGTAGACGGACGCTTCCCGCTGTCTGTGTTCGCTCCATCGCCAGCCTGTCTGTCTCACTGCCTCCTTTACTTCCTCCGGTTTCTGTCTCGTTTCTGCTCCAGAGCCTCGCGGCGCTGCTCGCCTGCCTCTGAGCTGAAAACAGATTGTTTCACAGATCAGGACTGAATCACATCAAAGCTCTGCATGTGTCTTATCCTCCATTCCTGGTCGCTGATCTCTCATTCCTGCATGACGCTGCATGAACGTTTCCCTGTCCGCTGCAGAGGAAGCCATTGCGGCGGCGCTACGAGTCTCCTGGGATGTACTCTGATGACGACGCCAACAGCGACGCATCCAGCGCCTGCTCAGAGCGCTCCTACAGCTCCAGGAACGGCGGCATCCCCCACTACCTGCGGCAGACGGAGGACGTGGCTGAGGTGCTGAACCACTGCGCCAGCTCCAACTGGTCTGAGAGGAAGGAGGGCCTGATGGGCCTGCAGAACCTGCTGAAGAGCCAAAGGATCCTCAGGTGGGACCCTGTCAGGTGGGATCCTGTCAGGGGGGATCCTGTCAGGTGGGATCCTGTCAGGTGGGATCCTGTCAGGGGGGATCCTGTCAGGTGGGAGCCTGTCAGGGGGGATCCTGTCAGGGGGGATCCTGTCAGGGGGGATCCTGTCAGGTGGGAGCCTGTCAGGTGGGAGCCTGTCAGGTGGGAGCCTGTCAGGTGGGGTTAGTGAAGTCCTTATGTTACTGGGAGTTATTTGAAGGAAACACTGAGCGCCCATGATACGGTGATGACTGTCAGATGTATTCCCTCTTCAGCAGCCAGATGCTCTCCCCATTCAGGCTCTTCTTAGCTGTAGTGAGGAAACCAGAAACGCCCAAACAGCTGGAAATCTAACCAACTGGAAGCTGAAGTGGTTTTTTTCAGTCCCAGTCAAATGACCCAACCTTGCTGTGCTGACCTCTTTCTGACATCACCAAACACGATGGCTAAATGCTGTGGAAAGATCATCACTTTAAATCTCACACGTCTCTCCAAGGCATGACTAAGGCTGCTTCATCACCACCATCATCACCATCAGCCCTGTAAAGTCCTCTTTCGTCCGACTCCAGTCTGCTTGCTATAAAGTCCTGTTTGGATGCTAATCGACCTCTGACCTCTGGGTTCAGTGGAAGTGAACTCTGGCTTGGTTTGAATGTGAACACCAAGCGGACCAGAAGTAGTCCACAAGCAGGAAGGTGGACTACAGCGCAGGGCATTCTGGGTAAATCCAACCAAAGCTAACATGCTAGCCTAGCGCTAGCAGCAGAAATGGCTCCTGGTCTACAGCTAAAGACTAAAGAGAAATCCTTCAGCACTAAACTGACGCCTCCATCTTGGTTCATCTGGTGAAGCAGGAAGTTCCTCTCAGTGTCTTCAGAGGTTTTAGTGTCATTTTCTGCAGTGGTTGTTGGTGCAGCGCCCCCACAGGCCAGGAGGGGAACAGGCTGGTCTGGGTCAGTATGATGTGAAAAAAACTATTTCCAAGCACTGCTCATGTAAAATCAGTCAATCAGGTTTATTCAGGAATTATGAACAACTCAGAGAGCTCAGAAGACAATCAACAATCAAGCCAGTCTGGCTGCAAAGCTCTGCCAGGCAGAGACAACACCAGTTTTATGCAAACAAGGAGAGACGGTCTGGTTCTGATGCAGCCGTGGAAAACAAACTTCCAACATCGTACATGTAACCCAAATAGTTCTTTTGGTGACAGTTCACAAACATTTCATCTGACATGTCTAGCAGATGTGACCTTATTGTAATCTTTTCCATCACATGTGGAAAAGAACTAAATGAGTGAACATGGAACGGAGCGTTTCCTGAGCAGCTTGTCTTCCACAGATCCAGCTCAGTCTGACCAAAGTTCCTGCCTAGATCCATGGAAAGCTTTACTTCTTGTCTGTTAGAAATAAATGAAGTAAATAAATAAACTCCACATGTTTACATTTGTGTTGGTAGGGCAGAACCTGACCTGCCTCCAGGAAGTCGCAGATCATTGTTCTGATCCTGTTGGGTTCTGACCGGCTGTTTGTTGTGTGTGCAGCCGGGTGGAGCTGAAGAGACTCTGTGAGATCTTCACCAGGATGTTTGCAGACCCCCACAGTAAGGTACAGACCACCAGATACATGCATGGTCTTCAGCTGGAGATGTTTCTGGATCTAACTGTGTGTTCTGCTGCACGGCCCGCCTTGCTGCGGCTCTAACTGCAGAGAGTGAGTGTTTGCTCCTTCAGTCCGTGTCCGCCCTGTTGGACGGAGAGCCGCTCTGACCACAACCTGCCTTTGCTCCCAGGTGTTCAGCATGTTCCTGGAGACGCTGGTGGACTTTGTCACAGTCCACAAGGACGACCTGCAGGACTGGCTCTTCGTCCTGCTCACTCAGCTGCTGAAGAAGATGGGCGCCGACCTGCTGGGCTCGGTCCAAGCCAAGGTCCAGAAGGCTCTGGACGTCACCAGGTCAGAACCAAGACGCGGCATGGCCTGCGTCAAGCGTTTATCACTAAAGCACTGATCTCATGACCTAGAACAGAGGTCCCCAACCTTTTCAGTACTGCGGACCCGGTCAAGACTTGGCCATTTGCCCTGGGGGACGGTGGGGGCGTCGGATAATGCTTCTGCATGTTGACGTTCCCGCTAAACCTTTTTTCCCCTGATTTTCCCTTTATGACAATCTTACAACGTCCTGATGTGTGGTGTGTTGAATATTCATCGCGGTCTCGGCCCGATTATCGCAGCCTGTCGAATGTGACAGGGAGCCAATCGGAACGCACGGTGACGTAAGAACAGAGGCGATGCCAAACCGTTGACATCGGAGGTGATGTGTGGAAAAGTTTATGACTACATGTAAAGGTCATTATTATATATGTTTATTATATGTGTTTATGTTTATTCAGTTAAAATGTTATGAATCATAGAGCAGCAAATAGAGCAGCTGCTCCTTTTATCAAACGCCTTTTCTTTTTGTTTCGTCTTTAAAATGATCCACAAACTATCACTGCTGCTCCTGCATCATCTTATTATTCTGAATTCATTATGGGATTTTACTGGATCTCCTTCTGGAACCGGGACGTTCAGTGGAACCAGGACGTTCAGAGGAACCGGTTCTGGTGCCGTGGAACCGGTTCTGGTGCCGTGGAACCGGTTCTGGTGCCGTGGAACCGGTTCTGGTTCCGTGTTGCTCCTGGACTCTCAAACCGACCGAACCTCTTGGACTTTTATCGGCTCTGAGGTCACAGAGGTTTGGGAAATCGGCCAACGATCCTTAAATCGTGAACCACATAAAAACTCACATCTGCTCTCATCTCGACCTCTGACCTCACGCTGTCTGACTCTGGTCACCATGGTAACGGTTACATATCCCTTCAAAATAAGATGCAGATGGGCCACAAAACCAACATTTTCCTTTTCTAAACATTTAACTCAGGATATCGACTGATGGACCCTGAGCTGTTTCTCCTGCTGGAGACGCTGAAGTGATGCTCAGGGAGACACTGGGTCTCCATGGTGATGCAGTCTGAAGCTTCATTGGCTCATCAGGTCACCTGATCATGCAGAGCAGCTTGGACTGTGGGAATCAACCCACCGGGACAAACCCATCCTCCTGCCTCTCTGGGCCTGCAGACAAACTTTCCAAAGAATCTGATCTGGTTCTGTTCATTTTGCTGCTTGTGGATCAATGTTGGCGCCAAAACGCCACCGAGAGAATCCGGTAAAGGATTTTCAAAATAAAAGACCCTCCAGTCTCACATGATACAGAAAACAACCGGTCCGCGGCCCGGCACCAACCGGACCGCGGCCCGGCACCAACCGGTCCGCGGCCCGGCACCAACCGGACCGCGGCCCGGGGGTTGGGGAACACTGGGGTAGAGAGTCTGTGAACCTCTGAAACATAGAGCTGCCTTTCCTAGATTGGCTGAACGTTCTGAGGTCCACTACTGGTTTCAGGTTCCAGAGGCCCAGTGGTACCACCACGACTAAACCCAAAAGCCTTACTGGAATCTCTGATTCACCATTATTTAAATACATCCTCGTCATCCAGTAAGGCTCTGGTATTTTTTACTGGTTTCAGGTGAAGCATCTAGGAGAATATATTCCGCAGTAATGGATTATTATTATTATTATAAAAATAACTGGGATTCTTCACTGCTCAGGCCGAGCAGGAAGAGATGTAATTGCACATCTGAGGAATCACATGTGACGAAACGTCTCCAACAAATATCCAAACTCTCTCAGCTCTTTCTGATGCGTCACTTTTTTTGGCTTTCATCTCTACTGCTGTGTGTTTAGTGTTGTAGTCGAGACGGCCTAACCAAGACCAGAGTGGATGGAAACCGAGACAAGACCGAGACTTTTAGGGTCCCAGACCCTAAAAGTCCGGGACCCTAAATCCGCGCTACCTGACAAAAATCCGCGCTACCTGACAAAATGAAATGAAATATAATCAAAACAGATTCTTAAATTGATCTGAAACATTCCTATAAAAACACTCAGATATTAAATACTTAGAGCTGAATAAATTTAACCAATATAATTATCAATCCAAACTCTTTGTTCTGCTTTGCTTCCATCTCTGAGCCACAATCCAGAGGTCTCCTGCCATCCCTAACAAGATAACGCCCTGGGCGGTTGCCCACACTGCCCATGCCAGAATCCACCACTGTCTGCTGCATTAAACAGCAATGAAGGCAATGCATTAATGGGGTAAACACTCAACTTCAGCAGCAGCTAGTTGAAGACAAGAACAGCTGTGGCTGTTACTGCGCTGCTTAGAAAAGCAATAAAATCAGGTTTCCAAAAAACACTAGAGAAATATAGAGAAAAAAAAACAAGTTTATAAGCCAGTTTTTCTCCAAGAGGTGGGTAGACTGTGTGAGATCATCAACCATTTAGCATAATTAGCTTAGCTTAAAGCTACTGTTAGCCTCCATTTCACTAGTATTCTATGAAAAGAGGATAAAAATGACACATATTCATATGTTTAATACGTAAACTGTACCTCTTACCACACTTGCCACCAGGTGAGTCGGTCAGCAGCAGCTCTAGTCCTTCCTCTGCTGAGGGAAGTTAAATCTGCAAAAACTTTTATAAAACATATTATTTTACATATTTGTTTAAACTGTCATTATGTTGTGACAGTGTGGTATAGAAATAACCTGTGAAACATCTATTTTCTCCACTTTCTCTCAGTGATATCTAGAAACAACCAATCAGAGGCAGGAGCATTTTAGTGCTGTCAATCACTATGTCATGTGGCTGCTCATCCCTCCCCATGCTCTGTGCTATGTTGTAGCAAGCAATAATGATGTGTTGTTTCTACACCATAAGCATATTTAGCACCGAGTGAATGAAGTTGACTAACAGCGCTAAGACCCTCCTCCTAGTTCTGATTGGTTGTGTTGGTCAGAACGTTGCTTTACTTTAGCCAGTGATAGCAGCTCAGGGAGCAGGTGGACAAGATTGATTGTTTTCACAGATTATCTTCTCATAACAAATTTTACGATGTGGTGCCAGCTTTAACAAATATGAAGAAAACATATTTTTTATTGAAGTTATAAACTGCAGCTTGAATAAAATGCAACTAAATGGCGTTTTTTGAGAAGTCTGGATTGCTTCATGTATATTTTGCACTTTGTCTATGATTGTTGCTGGTGGGAAGATATTTAAGTATCTAAAACTAAGAGAAAAAAATGTAACCTACTTACATGCAGTATGTGGACTGTTGGATGTAAAATTCATGAGCAGTAAATATTGTGCTATTATCAATATTGGACCAAAGAATCAAGGCAGTTACAAGCCTGTAAAATTGTGACGTTTTTGTTGGGTTAGATAAACTCAAGAAATTGTAGCAGCGGCTGCCTGGGGGGCCCTAGTTCAATTTTGGTCATGGGGCCCAAGATTCCTGGCGGTGCCCCTGCTGACGATTAGACAGACGTGCCGCTCAGAGGAACATGTCTTCCAGATCGAGATGTGCGAGTTAAAGCGACGTTTGGCAACAGAATCACGTAATTAGTAAGTCACGTTATTGCTCGGATTTTAATCAGTGTTTTGCATTTACTGTAAACAAAGATGTTAACAAATAAACTGGACAATATGCTGGTAGTTTAGTGACATTTCCACAGTTGTTGTCTTGACCAGTCTTAAAATGAAATCCCAAATCCTCAATGCCCGAGACCATCAAAAAGTGGTCTGGAGACCAAGACCGGCCTGGAATACTACAACACTATGTGTGTTTGAACGGTTGGACCAATGGCATTGCTTCCCTTCCCTTGCTAGTTGTTCTGTAATTTGTACTATTTGTATTTTAGGCCTTCCAGGAACTGGTTTTGGACTTCCTGGAAATCAAAATCTGCTCCATCTCAGTGGCACCAAATAACAAATGAGTCAAGTTGTTGCTCCTTATCTGTCCAAACAGAAAATCCTTGTTGGTTCTGGAGGCCAGAGAGACCTGAGCCGGTGCCACACAGCTTGCAAAGATATTTTCTGAAACAAGCAGAACATCATTTATGTTATGTTCCACATAAATGGAACACTCAAGATAAATTCTAGATAGAATGGAACAGAAAGAGGCTAAGTCATCAGTCTTGAGGTTCACCAAATATTACAAATCAGGTGATTGGGTGAGGTGGTACCAGATCTGGACTTGGATCTGGATCTGATTCTGTTGCCAGTTTTCTGGTGTGAATTATTCTGCTCTGAATATTTACTGTTCAAACATCGTCTCTGATCAGTGAAAGCAGAAAAATCATCAAAGTTTCCTAGGAAACAAGCTCTGCTGGTTGAAGATGATGTCCAGCGTTGACCCATCCAGCTGGTTTCGGGGTTTCTTTCGCTATGACCCGGTCAGCTCCTTATGGGTCAGAGGTCGTCGGCCTGAGCGCTGAACTCAGCTTCTATGTGCTGCGTTTCAGGGAGTCGTTCCCCTTCGACCAGCAGTTCAACATCCTGATGCGCTTCATTGTGGACCAGACCCAGACCCCCAACCTCAAGGTGAGCCACAGTCGTCTCCCGCCGCCGCGTCTCCGTCGGCCCAGGACTAAACGTCCCGTGGTCCACAGGTCAAAGTCGCCATTCTGAAGTACATCGAGTCTCTGGCTCGCCAGATGGACCCGACCGACTTTGTGAACTCCAGCGAGACACGACTGGCGGTGTCCCGCATCATTACCTGGACCACCGAACCTAAAAGCTCTGACGTCAGGAAGGTGAGACGCATTTCATCCTCGATACAAGAGCAAAGGCTTTCCACCTGAAGAGTAAAGCTGTCTTGTTTTGAGCTCATTTGTCTGTTTACTCAATAAATTAGCAGTAAAAACGTTTTGAATTGAAAGCTTTGCTGATTAAGATGTGATTTAATTAATTTCAAACCCTGAAATTAATTGGATCTGAAACTATGGAAGCCTTTTATCAGAATCAGTTGTTGACCTGTCGCAGCTGAGTTCTGGTTCTATTTCATCCCTACTGACCGCCAGAGGGCGGCGCTGAAAGCACAGAATGTTCCCTTCGCGCATGCGCCGTTCGAGCAATAATACCAAGAGTCACACCAGTGACATATCGAATGATCAATCAGAGGCTCTTTTCTTCTCGTGTGCGGTTCGTTTTGTGGCATCGGCCTTTTGGATTTTTGGATCTTTTCGCCGTCGTTGGAAGCCCGACGGCCTGTTGGCCGGAGTAGCGGTGTGTCGCCGTCCTAGGGCTGCGACGGATCTTCGATTCACGGCACTGTTTGTTGGAGCTTCGCTAACGGTGTTAGCCTTTCTCTAGCCTTTCTCAGTTTGCCGTTTTGCTTTCATTGGTGATGGGTGCCTTTTTGCCCATTCTCCCAGTTTTTGGATTTCGGTCCGCGGCGGCGTTCACGCCCCCTCATCAATTGGTCTGTTTTTTCGTCCTGTGCTGGACGTCGCTGGACCTATCGTTGGTCCACTGTTTTCTTTCTTTCTTCTGTCTGTGATTGGTGACGGCTGCGTTTTTGCCCCCTCTCCCGATTGGTTTTTTTCTTCTCCTTTGCTTTGGGCATAGCTGACGGTGTCTGCCCCTTTTATTGTGATTGGTTGCGTTCTCCGCCCCCTCTCCCAATCGTAGTCTGTTCTGTCTGCCTGTGGTGGGACTGGCTTCGGTTTTGGCTTCGGTTTTGGCTATGGATAGCTCCCACTGTTGTGCGGATTGCGGGGCTGTGCTTCAGGCAGATGATGGGCATGACCTGTGCCCTGCCTGCCTCGGGCATGATCACCTGGCTGAGGCCCTATCAGACGATCCCTGCATGAACTGCAGCTACATGCCCCATGCTGTGGAAGTTGCTCGTCTGGCCCAGTTACGTCCGGAGTGTGAAGGTGGCCTTCCATCTTCTGGGCAGATTGCCACGGCTGGGCGCTCTAAGCGCAGGACCGAGGCCGCAGCCTCCGTGGCCGCAGCCTCCGTGGCCGCAGCCTCCGTGGCCGCAGCCTCCGTGGCTCCTCCTAAGAAGAGGCGGGCTAAAGTCTGGCCAGGGTCTCTCCACGGGGGTTGAGCGTTTGCAGATTTGACAGACATGAAATCCCTTCTTTAGGCACCTCAGAAGGTGGATGCTTCCGTGGCTAGGTTCTCTTCCCACCTGTGCCGGAGTTGGTCGTGGAGGAGGATGTACTGTCCTTGGCTGCCTCTGCCTCTCACTTTCAGCATGAGGAGGAGGAGGCACAGTCATCTCGCGCTTCGGAGACCAGCGCACACTCTTCGTCTCAGAGTGCGGCTAGTGGCTCTGGTGATAGTTCCATGCAGGACATCTTGCGTATGCAGCTGGCTATCCTGCAAGTGACGGAGTCCGCTCCTGGCAGTGCTTTTTTCAGGCGCGGACGAGCCCCTACCCCTTTTTCTGTCCCTCCATCAGAGGAGTACCTCAGGAATTGCATGCTTGTTGGCGGGACCCTGGGGCCTTTTCACGACTCTCCACCGATGGTCGGGTGTTGGCAGCTATGCAGGAGTCGGTTACGGCAGGCTTGGATCGCATGCCTGCAGTCAAACTTGCTGTTGTCTGGTTCATTGTGTCCCCAGATGAGGCCCTGCATGATGATGTTACAGATGGCTTCCTCTGTAAAGCGTATAATACCGGCGTTAGGCTAAAAAGAAAGTGACTCCACCGGGCCAGCCGTCGGATGTTTTTCTCATCAGCAGGTCAGTTACTGGGCTGCTCTTGCTGTTGATCCGTGGGTGGTTGCCACTCTGACCCGTGGTTACTTGGAACATTTCCGACGGCGGCCTCACGTCGGGTCACGGCGACCATCATCACCGACCCGTTGAAAGCTCAGGCTTTGGACCAGGAGCTTTCCGCCCTCCTGGCCAAGGGTGCAATCGAGACGGTGGATCCTCTGCGGCAACCCACAGGCTACTATTTGACCTATTTCCTCATGTCAAAAAAGACTGGTGGATTTTGTCCCATTTTGGACCTCAGGGGTCTCAATCAGTGTTTAAAGGTCCTGCCATTCCACATGCTCACGACAGCAGAGGTTCTTCGGGCCGTGACGAAGGGGGACTGGTTTACCTCAATCGACCTTACAGATGCTCCTGTCAGGCACACTATTTTGAGTGCCAGGGCTTTTTCCACTCGTCAGCAATATGAAAGCAGATGGCGTCTGTTTTCCCGGTGGTGTTTTGCCCGTAATGATGATCCAGTCACCTGTGCGGTTCCCACTGTTTTGGAGTTTCTTCAGTCCCTTCTTGATAAGGGCTGCTCCCCTTCGACGCTTAAGGTCTATGTAGCGGCTATAGCGTCTTGTCATGCTTCAGCATGACAAGACGTGGCAGTGTACTGAGATCTAGAACCTGATCTGGATCCAGCTGGTGGCCACTGTACAGCGGGTTGTCCACGCTGTACAGTGGGGAGCCATAATCTCGTTTCTCTTTTTTTGCGTGGTGCTCATAGACTGCACCCTCCTATGGCCCCACGAGCACCAGTTTGGGACGTGTCCTTGGTCCTCACTGCTCTGTGCCGCCCTCCATTTGAGCCTTTGGTTCGGGCGGACCTCAAATGGTTGTCATGTAAGACTGCTTTTTTGTTGGCTATTGTCTCGGCTAAGCGGGTCGGTGAGCTACATGCTCTTTCTGTCAGCCCGTCATGCCTCAGATGGAGTTCTGATGGCTCTGGTGTTACCTTGTGGCCGAACCCGGCGTTTGCCCCTAAGGTGTTTTCTCCTTCTTATTGTAACCAGCCATTGAGCTCGGTGCATTTTGGGCCCATCTCAGGGGACACTGGTGATGGTTCTGAGTTGCTGTGCCCAGTGAGGGCACTGGAGGCCTATCTTGCAGCCACTGCTGCTTTAAGACGCTCAGACCAGCTGTTCTTGAGCTATGGAGGCCCTCAATTGGGTTGTCCTCTGTCTAAACAGCGTCTCTCCCATTGGATTGTGGATGTCATCTGCCACGCCTACGCTGCGGGACACCACCCCGGGCCGGTCGGCGTGACGGACGGCGGACTCTACCAGGAGCGTTTCCGCGTTTCCGCTTCCTGGGCCGCCTTGAGAGGAGTTCCTCTGGAAGCTGTATTTGCTGCTGCGTCATGGGCTTCTCCAAGCACATTCGCTACGTTTTACAATGTGAATGTGGCGTCCTCTCATCCTCTGGCCCAGGTTCTTTTACAAGGGTCTTCTGGGCCTTCTCATGAGGTTTATGCCTAGGATTCCTTGTGACATCGCTGGTATTCATCATTCAGTGCTTTCAGCACCGCCCTCTGGCGGTCAGTAGGGATGAAATAGAACGACAGTTACCTATGTAACTACGGTTCTATGAATCCCAGATGACCGCCAGAGCTTCTCTGTCACTCAGGATCCTTGCATTTCGCGAGAAGGTTCTGTAGGAATCTATATATAGCCTCTGATTGATCATCCGATGTGTCACCGGTGTGACTCTTGGTATTATTTCTCGAACGGCGCATGCGCAAAGGGAACATTCTGTGCTTTCAGCGCCGCCCTCTGGTGGTCAGTAGGGATGAAATAGAACCGTAGTTACAGATGTAACTTTCGTTCTGGTCCATCACCTGGACCCTTAGAGAGACGGGGCCGCCACAGCAGGGCAAGCGAGGAGCTTCTGGAGAAACGAGTCTCAGTTGGGTCCGGGTTCAGGATCGCGGTCATCATGGCGATGCCTGAGTCGCCAGCAAACGTTCCCATTCCTGTGGGACACCCAGATCACCGTCTCTCCTCAGTCTGGGAGCCAACAACTTAAAGGGCCAGCGTCAATTTTAAAACTCAGCTGAGAGAGCGGGCCGAGTCAGGGGTTGGTTCTGGAGGGCAGACCGGGTCCACCAGCTGGATCCAGATCAGGTTCTAGATCTCAGTACACTGCCACGTTCAGGAAGAAGCCAGCAGAACTGGAGGTGATAACAAGAGATCCAGATCCAGAACCGAGTTGACACCAGAACTTCTCCAGGTTCTGCTGGACATCACCTGTTGCTGCTGGGTTCTGTTGGTCCAGTTCTCCTGCTCTGATCCATGGAACGTGCCAGGTTCTGATTCTGACAGAGGTTCCTCTGCAGGTTTGGTTCTGCTGGTTCCAAGACCTGGCATCAGTAAGCGGTTAGTTCTGTGTGCAGGCGGCCCAGGTGGTTCTGATCGCGCTGTTTGAGCTGAACACGCCGGAGTTCACCATGCTGCTGGGCGCGCTGCCCAAGACCTTCCAGGACGGCGCCACCAAGCTGCTGCACAGCCACCTCAAGAACTCCAGCAACACCAGCAGCAGCAGCGTGGTGAGTCCCTCCAGAACCTCCAGGACCCGGTCCAGGCCTTCTCAAGCGCAGCTTCTGCTTCTGTTCTCCAGGGGTCTCCCAGCAACACGGTGGGCCGGACGGCGCCGCGCCACGCCCCCAGCAGGTCCAGCCCGCTCACTTCCCCCACCAACTGCTCCCACGGCGGCCTGTCTCCCAGGTAGGAACCCACCGGACCACCACCCAACCCGCCTGCTGGTCCGGGAGAACCTTGGCTGCGAGGCGTTCTGGTCCCGACCCACCAGGGGTTCTGGTTCCACGATTGTCCATCCACAGATGGCAGCGGCCATGATTGCTACTATAAACTCGCGTAGAAATCGTCGGCTTTAAGCTAAAACTCCTAAATGAGCGATGACACTTGCTGAGAGCGAAAAGCTTCCCATCAGAACCGCTGGAGCCGTCCCGAATCCGAAAGGTCAGAACCTCCGGATGCTCCGATCAGGGTTTTTCCTGCCCGTTCCGATCACCCATGGGCCGATCACTGCCGATACCGATCACATGGATTGGCTGTAAATGTTTCTCTTCAGGTATAAATGAGAATCTGGCAAAACAAAACCATGAAATATCCTAATTTAGACCAAAACTTAAAATACCTGCAGGCCCCATGCAGAAAGTATTCAGTCAAAAAGGCGACAGAAAAACTGCAATCTGGGATAAAATATGCAACAGTAAGGCTCTGGAAGCCTGAATTATACATAAAGTCAAATATATCTCACAACACTTATCAAGTAAAGTCCAGTAAAAAAGTGAAACATTCATTCAAAGTCAAATGCAGGTTGTAGTGATAAGCAACCAACATCACCAGATGAACCTGCCTGATGGCGACAGCATGGCGAGCTGCTGTCTGACTGAGCCGTGTAATTCTGCAGCACACCTGCAGGGGGCAGAGCAGCTACATCTTTTATTTTCACAGATTATCTCTCATGCCAGGACAGCAAACATTTTAATACATGTGTAAAAACCTTTTTACATTACATGCGGCAGCTTTAAGCAGACGGCCGGAGTGAGAGCTCACAGTCAGGTGGAGCGAGGCGCCAGCAGGCAGCGGTGGTCCAACAGCGGGAGCAGAACCTGCTGCAGCTGCAACTGGCAGCTGCAACTGCCACTGGCAGGGTGCGACGGCTGAGACGCAGGTGATCGGTTTGTGATCGGCAACTGGAGACAGTGATCGGCAATCATACACTTTTCCACGGAAATCGGTCGATTATGATCGGTGGCCGGTCGATCAGCATGCCGCTAGTCAGAACTTCTGGATCCGTCAGCAGGAAGCAGATCTGTCCTCTAACCTGAACCTCTCAGCTCAGACTCTTTTTGTCTCTCCTCTCTCTCCGTTCTTGCCCTTCCTCCTCTCATTGGTTTCCTCCTTTCCTCCATCCTTCCTTCCTGCTGCTACAGTCTTTTGTGGGGATGGGGGGTCGACGGGCTGCTCCCCGCTGCGCCCCCTGCCGCCCCCCTGCCTCAGAGCGCCCCTGCCGCCCCTGGCCTCAGGGCCCTGCGCCGAGCCTTTTCACCCAGGTAGACCGAGACCAGTTGTTCTGTTTGTCGCTGAGTGTCGCTGCAGAATGCGTCGCTCTGCGACACGTCGGCACGCTCGGACCGGACCGGCAGCAGAAACACTGCGCACGCATGCGGACCGGCGGCCGTGTTTCTGCTCCAGCCGCTTCCTCTGACCCGCCGTTCCCCCTCTGTGCTCGGCAGCGTGACGGAGTACGACACGGAGAACATGAACGCAGAGGAGATCTACAGCTCGCTGCGCGGCGTCACCGAGGCCATCCAGAGCTTCAGCTACCGCAGCCAGGAGGACCTGAACGAGCCGCTGCGCCGCGACGGCAAGAGGGACGACGCCGTGAGTGTCCCACTGGTGGATTACTGGTGTATTACTGATGGATTACTGGTGTATTACTGATGGATTACTGGTGTATTACTGATGGATTACTGGTGTATTACTGGTGTATTACTGGTGTATTACTGATGGATTACTGGTGGATTACTGGTGGATTACTGGTGTATTACTGATGGATTACTGGTGTATTACTGATGGATTACTGGTGTATTACTGGTGTATTACTGGTGTATTACTGATGGATTACTGGTGGATTACTGGTGGATTACTGGTGTATTACTGATGGATTACTGATGGATTACTGATGGATTACTGGTGTATTACTGATGGATTACTGGTGTATTACTGATGGATTACTGATGGATTACTGGTGTATTACTGATGGATTACTGATGGATTACTGGTGTATTACTGGTGTATTACTGGTGTATTACTGATGGATTACTGGTGGATTACTGGTGGATTACTGGTGTATTACTGATGGATTACTGATGGATTACTGATGGATTACTGGTGTATTACTGATGGATTACTGGTGTATTACTGATGGATTACTGATGGATTACTGGTGTATTACTGATGGATTACTGATGGATTACTGGTGTATTACTGGTGTATTACTGGTGTATTACTGATGGATTACTGGTGGATTACTGGTGGATTACTGGTGTATTACTGATACTGATGGATTACTGATGGATTACTGGTGGATTACTGGTGTATTACTGATGGATTACTGGTGTATTACTGGTGTATTACTGGTGTATTACTGGTGTATTACTGATGGATTACTGGTGGATTACTGATGGATTACTGGTGGATTACTGGTGTATTACTGATGGATTACTGATGGATTACTGATGGATTACTGGTGTATTACTGATGGATTACTGGTGTATTACTGATGGATTACTGATGGATTACTGGTGTATTACTGATGGATACTGATGGATTACTGGTGTATTACTGGTGTATTACTGGTGTATTACTGATGGATTACTGGTGGATTACTGGTGGATTACTGGTGTATTACTGATGGATTACTGATGGATTACTGATGGATTACTGGTGTATTACTGATGGATTACTGGTGTATTACTGATGGATTACTGATGGATTACTGGTGTATTACTGATGGATTACTGATGGATTACTGGTGTATTACTGGTGTATTACTGGTGTATTACTGATGGATTACTGGTGGATTACTGGTGGATTACTGGTGTATTACTGATGGATTACTGATGGATTACTGATGGATTACTGGTGGATTACTGGTGTATTACTGATGGATTACTGGTGTATTACTGGTGTATTACTGATGGATTACTGGTGGATTACTGATGGATTACTGGTGGATTACTGGTGTATTACTGATGGATTACTATGGATTACTGATGGATTACTGATGGATTACTGGTGTATTACTGATGGATTACTGGTGTATTACTGATGGATTACTGATGGATTACTGATGGATTACTGGTGGATTACTGATGGATTACTGGTGGATTACTGGTGGATTACTGGTGTATTCTCCAGAAATACTACAGGAGAACCAGACATAATAACTGCATTTATAAAGCTCCAGGTGCCAGATATCGGCTTCTTGCAGATGCAAAAAGATGCTAAATCCTTTTGTTTTATTTTGAAAGTTTGATTAAAACTTCCTCCTGTCAGGTGGGAAGAGAAGTCGTGGCTCCATCTCCAGGTCCTGATGCTCGTCTGGGTTTAGATGTGGTGGAAGGCGGCCGCACCGCCCTGGACAACAAGACGTCGCTGCTCAACACCCCGTCGCCACGGTCCTTCTCTGGGCCCCGGAGCCGCGAGTTTGCCCCCTACGGTGAAACCATCTGCGCTTACGATAAGAGCGCGCTGAAGGAGGCCGTGTTCGATGACGACGTGGAGCAGTTCCGTGACTGTGAGTCTACTAATACTCTGCACAAGGGTCAAAGGTTAACTGCTGTTATTACCTGGACTCTTCTCCAGGTTAAACCAGGGGTCACGCAGCTTGTTAATCCCAGAGTTGGTTCTCCGTGTCTCCTGGAGGGGGCGCTATGCAGCAGGAAGACTCCTTCACTCTGGAAGGATTGAAATAAGAACTGCACAATATTACAAAATATTCTGATATTTATTTCACTAGTAAATATTGTGATGACTATAGTATTAGAAAATATTTCAATGATGATAATATAAGAAAATATTACAACAATAATATTGGCTCATATTGTACAGCCCTAGTAGAACCTGACAGCAGTCATTGGCTGTATAACTATCTGACCACCAGGGGGCAGTCATTGACCAGCGATGGTCAGCTGACCCTTTGAAGAAATCCAGGATAAGCTGAACATGTTTCAACTTAACTAAAAAAATGCAATTTGTGTTGCACCGAAACTCATAATCACTTCAAAAATGATTGTCTTTAGTTTTATTTTTCAGCAATGGGTTGATGATGCATTCTGGCTTGTTCTCCACTGGAAGCTACAGAGGAAACACAGCTAGCTTAACTTTACCCGAGGAAACACAGCTAGCTTAACTTTACCCGAGGAAACACAGCTAGCTTAACTTTACCCAAGGAAACACAGCTAGCTTAACTTTACCCGAGGTTATCACATTGTGTTTGCCTGGTGTAAGTTTAGATAATGCCACACGGTGAATGGATAAGTTCCCACATGTACAAAAAGAAGAGCGCAGTCGGAGAGCCACAGCCGAACACAACTATTTGGCCCTCAACATTTCTCTCCAGAAGACTTTGAGTCACTTGTACGAGCAATACTGAGGAAGGCTCTAACAGCTGCTGTGGGCCGGACACGGCGGTATGGCTGTGACCTCTGGTCGGACCGTGTGATCCGACCAGAGGTCATCATTTCATTTTTGAAGCTGAAGGCAGCAGCAGCTCCTATGTCCACCAACTGTCCCCTTCCTCTGTTTGGTCCTCATCATCATCATCACTCCATGTAATTTCTACATTCGATCGATTTCAACACTCCGACTCAATTTGAAAGGCTTAGAAACGTGACGAATCACTGTTTGGCTGGACGCAGCTGGTTTGACCATCAGATGACATTTAGTGTGAAATGAAAGTAGAACGAGGCGTTAGCATCACGCTAACGCCTCGGATGCCAACGCCTCGGACGCTGGGTGCCGCTCAGACCTGGATCAGTTGCTAATGCTAGCGCAGCAGCCAGGTGGTAACCTGTGATCCAGGTCAGAGGTCACGTCAGACCTCAGTCTGTCGCCACGGCAACAGGAAGCAAAGATGCTGAAACCAAACATGTCTTCATCCACTTGTTCAGCACATTTGTTTCTGTTGCTGCCATCACATTGTTCTCTCTGCACCCACCTCCCCATCTTCATCCTCCATCATCCTCCCTGACCCCTGACCCCTCCCACCCTTCCCTGCAGGCCGGCGGAAGGATTCAGGTGAAAACAAGACGAGTCCCCCTAAAGGCTTTTGTCCTGGTAAACGCTCTTCCTGCTCCCCTCATTCATCTCCTCTGAGGCTGTCGGGTCGGTTCTGTTGGTTCTTCTGGGTCGGTTCTGTCGGGTCGGTTCTGTTGGTTCCGTTCGGTCGATTCCGTTGGTTCGGTTCTGTTGGTTCTGTCGGGTCGGTTCTGTCGGGTCGGTTCTGTTGGTTCCTTCGGGTCGGTTTCGTTCGGTCGGTTCTGTTGGTTCTGTCGGGTCGGTTCTGTCGGTCGGTTCTGTCGGGTCAGTCCTGATGGTTTGGTTCTGTTGGTTCTGTCGGGTCGGTTCTGTCGGGTCGGTTCTGTTGGTTCTTCTGGGTCGGTTCTGTCGGGTTGGTTCTGTTGGTTCTTCTGGGTCGGTTCTGTTGGGTTGGTTCTGTTGGTTCTTCTGGGTCGGTTCTGTCGGGTTGGTTCTGTTGGTTCTTCTGGGTCGGTTCTGTTGGGTTGGTTCTGTTGGTTCTTCTGGGTCGGTTCTGTCGGGTTGGTTCTGTTGGTTCTGCTGGGTCGGTTCTGTTGGTTCTTCTGGGTCGGTTCTGTTGGTTCTTCTGGGTCGGTTCTTTTGGTTCTGCTGGGTCGGTTCTGTTGGTTCTTCTGGGTCGGTTCTGTCGGGTCGGTTCTGTTGGTTCTGCTGGGTCGGTTCTGTCGGGTCGGTTCTGTTGGTTCCGTCCGGTCGATTCCGTTGGTTCGGTTCTGTTGGTTCTGTCGGGTCGGTTCTGTCGGGTCGGTTCTGTTGGTTCTGTCGGGTCGGTTCTGTCGGGTCGGTTCTGTTGGTTCCGTCGAGTCGGTTCTGTCGGGTCAATTCTGTCGGGTCGGTTCTGTTGGTTCTGTCGGGTCGGTTCTGTCGGGTCAGTTCTGTCGGGTCGGTTCTGTCGGGTCGGTTCTGTCGGGTCGGTTCTGTCGGTTCGGTTCTGTTGGTTCCGTCGAGTCGGTTCTGTCGGGTCAATTCTGTCGGGTCGGTTCTGTTGGTTCTGTCGGGTCGGTTCTGTCGGGTCGGTTCTGTCGGGTCAGTTCTGTCCAGTCGGGTCGGTTCTGTCGGGTCGGTTCTGTCGGGTCAATTCTGTCGGGTCGGTTCTGTTGGTTCTGTCGGGTCGGTTCTGTCCGGTCGGGTCGGTTCTGTCCGGTCGGTTCCGTCGGGTCGGTTCTGTCCGGTCGGTTCTGTCGGGTCGGTTCTGTCCGGTCGGTTCTGTCGGGTCAGTTCTGTCCGGTCGGTTCTGTCGGTCGGTTCTGTCCGGTCGGTTCTGTCGGGTCGGTTCTGTCGGGTCAGTTCTGTCCGGTCGGTTCTGTTGGTTCTGTCGGGTCGGTTCTGTCGGTTCGGTTCTGTTGGTTCTGTCGGGTCGGTTCTGTCGGTTCGGTTCTGTTGGTTCTGTCGGGTCGGTTCTGTCGGGTCAATTCTGTCGGGTCGGTTCTGTTGGTTCTGTCGGGTCGGTTCTGTCGGGTCGGTTCTGTCGGGTCGGTTTTGTCCGGTCGGTTCTGTCGGGTCGGTTCTGTCGGTTCCGTCCGGTCGGTTCTGTCGGGTCGGTTCTGTCGGGTCGGTTCTGTCGGGTCGGTTCTGTCCGGTCGGTTCTGTTGGTTCTGTCCGGTCGGTTCTGTCGGGTCGGTTCTGTCGGATCGGTTCTGTCGGGTCGGTTCTGTCGGGTCGGTTCTGTCCGGTCGGTTCTGTTGGTTCTGTCGGGTCGGTTCTGTTGGTTCTGTCCGGTCGGTTCTGTCGGGTCGGTTCTGTTGGTTCTGTCCGGTCGGTTCTGTCGGGTCGGTTCTGTCGGGTCGGTTCTGTCGGGTCGGTTCTGTCCGGTCGGTTCTGTTGGTTCTGTCGGGTCGGTTCTGTCGGGTCGGTTCTGTCCGGTCGGTTCTGTTGGTTCTGTCGGGTCAGTTCTGTCGGGTCGGTTCTGTCGGGTCGGTTCTGTCCGGTCGGTTCTGTTGGTTCTGTCGGGTCAGTTCTGTCGGGTCGGTTCTGTCGGGTCAGTTCTGTTGGTTCTGTCGGGTCGGTTCTGTTGGTTCTGTCGGGTCGGTTCTGTCGGGTCGGTTCTGTCGGGTCGGTTCTGTCGGGTCGGTTCTGTCGGGTCGGTTCTGTCCGGTCGGTTCTGTTGGTTCTGTCGGGTCGGTTCTGTTGGTTCTGTCCGGTCGGTTCTGTTGGTTCTGTCGGGTCGGTTCTGTCGGGTCAGTTCTGTCGGGTCGGTTCTGTCGGGTCGGTTCTGTCCGGTCGGTTCTGTTGGTTCTGTCGGGTCAGTTCTGTCGGGTCGGTTCTGTCCGGTCAGTTCTGTTGGTTCTGTCGGGTCGGTTCTGTTGGTTCTGTCGGGTCGGTTCTGTCGGGTCGGTTCTGTTGGATCGGTTCTGTCGGGTCGGTTCTGTCGGGTCGGTTCTGTCCGGTCAGTTCTGTCGGTTCTGTCGGGTCGGTTCTGTTGGTTCTGTCGGGTCGGTTCTGTCGGGTCGGTTCTGTTGGTTCTGTCGGGTCGGTTCTGTCGGGTCGGTTCTGTCGGGTCGGTTCTGTCCGGTCGGTTCTGTTGGTTCTGTCGGGTCGGTTCTGTCGGGTCGGTTCTGTCCGGTCGGTTCTGTTGGTTCTGTCGGGTCAGTTCTGTCGGGTCGGTTCTGTCGGGTCGGTTCTGTCCGGTCGGTTCTGTTGGTTCTGTCGGGTCAGTTCTGTTGGTTCTGTCGGGTCGGTTCTGTCGGGTCGGTTCTGTCCGGTCGGTTCTGTTGGTTCTGTCCGTTCGGTTCTATCGGGTCGGTGTGCTCTGACTCTGGGACGTTCCCCGGTTCGAGAGGGGTGCAGGGTGTCAGAGACGTCCTGGCGGCCGTGCTAACCCCTCTCTGGTTCCGAGCAGTCGGACCGGACCATTCGGACCTGGTGGCGGACCTGCTGAAGGAGCTGTCCAATCACAACGAGCGCAGCGAGGAGCGGCGCGCGGCGCTGCTGGAGCTGCTGAAGGTCACGCGGGAGGACAGCGCCCCCCTGTGGGACGAACACTTCAAGACCGTCCTGCTGCTGCTGCTGGAGACGCTCTGCGACAAGGAAGTAGGTTCTGGTTCTGGGGAGGTCCCGGTCCGGTTCTCCTTCCTGGGATTCCTCCAGGCCTGCTGGCGGTCTCTCTCCACAGGGACCGGACCGGGTCTGTGGGGCGGTACTGACCCGGCTCTCGTCTCCCGGCAGCACACCATCCGGGCCCTTGCCCTGCGGGTTCTGAAGGAGATCCTGAGGAACCAGCCGACCCGGTTCAGGAACTACGCCGAGCTGACCATCATGAAGACCCTGGAGGCCCACAAGGACTCCCACAAAGAGGTGATCCGGTTCTGGTTCTGCTGCTCTGGGGGCTAAAATCTGGATCTGAATCAAATGAGGTCAGCAGGAGAAACTCCTGATTTCTTGGTGAAAAGTATTGGCAGTTCTGATATGAATGAGTGAATGAATGAATGAATGACTGAATGAGTGAATGAATAAATGAGTGAATGAGTGAGTGAATGAATGAGTGAATGAATGAATGAGTGAATGAATGAATGAATGAATGAATGAATAAGTGAATGAGTGAATGAATAAATGAGTGAATGAATGAATGAATGAATGAGTGAATGAGTGAATGAATGAATGAATGAATGAATGAATGAATGAATGAATGAGTGAATGAGTGAGTGAATGAATGAATGAGTGAATGAATGAATGAATGACTGAATAAGTGAATGAGTGAATGAATAAATGAATGAATGAATGAATGAATGAGTGAATGAATAAATGAGTGAATGAATGAATGAATGAATGACTGAATAAGTGAATGAGTGAATGAATAAATGAGTGAATGAATGAATGACTGAATAAGTGAATGAGTGAATGAATAAATGAGTGAATGAGTGAGTGAATGAATGAATGAGTGAATGAATGAATGAGTGAATGAATGAATGAATGACTGAATAAGTGAATGAGTGAATGAATAAGTGAATGAGTGAATGAATGAATGAATGAATGAATAAATGAGTGAATGAATGAATGAATGAGTGAATGAATAAATGAGTGAATGAGTGAGTGAATGAATGAGTGAATGAATGAATGAATGAATGAATGAATGAGTGAATGAATGAATGAATGAGTGAATGAATGAGTGAGTGAATGAATGAGTGAATGAATGAATGAGTGAATGAATGAATGAATGACTGAATAAGTGAATGAGTGAATGAATAAGTGAATGAGTGAATGAATGAATGAATGAATGAATAAATGAGTGAATGAATGAATGAATGAATGAATGAATAAGTGAATGAGTGAATGAATAAATGAGTGAATGAATGAATGAATGAATGACTGAATAAGTGAGTGAATGAATGAGTGAATGAATGAATAAATAAGTGAATGAGTGAATGAATGAATGAATGAATGACTGAATAAGTGAATGAGTGAATGAATAAGTGAATGAGTGAATAAATGAGTGAATGAATGAATGAATGAATGAATGAATGAATGAATAAGTGAATGAGTGAATGAATAAATGAGTGAATGAGTGAGTGAATGAATGAGTGAGTGAATGAATGAGTGTCAACTGACGGATACTGGGATATGAACCAGGACCTGACGGTTTGTGTCATTTCATAATTCAATGATCGAAGCCATATTTTATTTAAACTCAAGGCAAACAGTCAAAAATTGAATTGCTGTGAAAAACTAATATGTTTCTCAATATCAAGAGAAATAAATGAAAGATTATTAGAAACTGTGTTGTTGTGCTGCTCTATGATGTTCTTGTGTTTCTGAGTTTGATAGATTCTATTCTGTCATTGCAGCCAAACTTTCTCCACACAGAAACACGCAGTAACTTTAGTCAGTAACTGATTACTTGATTTGGAAAGTAACTAAGTTACATTAAAAGTAACTATTTTAGTTACTTCCAGCAGCCGCTAACAACAACACTATGATAATCACATTGATTTTGCCAAAACTTAGTTGCAAGTTATTTCATAACAGTAACATCAACAATGTGTCTCCAGTTCTCAGGTTGAACTAAAGAGGAGATTTTAATGTTACAACCCAGTTAGTCACATGTGTTTTTGTTTCTACTGTCTGCAAAGTAAGCAGGATCTAAAGACCCCATCCTGCCCCAGAATCCTGCCCCACAATGGGGCAGGATTCTGGGGCAGGATGATGCAGGATGGGGGCAGGATGGGGCAGGATGGGGCAGGATGGGGGCAGGATGGGCAGGATAGGGGCAGGATGGGGCAGGATGGGGCAGGATGATGCAGGATGGGGGCAGGTGGGTTCTGGTTACTCCGTCAGTAACGCATCGCCGTCTGCCTCCCACCTGTTCTCACACTAAACGTTCAGCCATTTTGGAGGAGTTGCTCTCTGCTCTGATTGCTGATGAACAATGAAGCCTCTTGCTGCAGTGACTTTGGGGGCTACTGTTGCATTGTGGGAAATGTAGTGTTGGTGTGGATTAATAGTGGTTAAATATCTCAGTCACATATGTCATAACTTTGACAGATGTGACTGAGAGACACCAGTTAACCTGACAGTCCTGTTTCTGGACTGTGGAGGAAACTGGAGAACCGGACAGAACCCAGCATGGAGAACATGCAGAAAGACCCGGGAATCCAACCCACAACCTTCTTGCTGCAAGGCAGCAGTTCTACGAACTGGACCACTGTGCAGCCTGGTATTATTATTATTAT